CCAGCCTGCAGACACTGCAAACCAGCCCGTAAATACCTCTCCAAGCCTGCAGCTCTTATTTCTCCTTGGGCAGGAATTATGTGAGCACCTATTCCATTCTGTCCTGAGCTTAACTATCCTCACCATCAACTAATAAAACCTCTCAAAAGCAGAATTAAAGCAACTCTTGGCAACTTGGGGATTGTCATCTGGGTAAACAAAGCTGAAATACCAGTCCACAACCACAATTCCTTTTCTTGTGTTTGCTGAGTTGTTTCCTCTGTGACTCCTGTCCATGAGGCTTTGTGATGAGCAGAAAATGCTGTGCTTGGTGAGCAGAAAATGCTGTGCTTGGTGAGCCAGAGCACAGTTTCATTGAACCTCTATTTACAGAGGTTTTCACCTGCCTTGTGTAACACCTCATGAGAGGGTTTTGCTTGTTTGCCTCAAAATGAGGAATGTGAGGGACTCTGAGCAGCTGGACTGAAGGGAAGGTGAATTTTGCAGTTGATTCCCTCCCCTGGCATGACATTTTCCAAGTCAATGCCTAAGGCTGAAGCAGCATTTGGGTCTCTCCGGAGAGGTGGCTATTTTCATCCTTCTCTCCAGCACAATCCCCTGGGTGTGCTGTTTGACAAGGCAAGAGACAGGAGGCAGCTGGCTCGTGGTGTGCAGTGCTGGCATGTCCACGTGGGATCCTTCAGAGCTGAGTCCTCTCTGAGCACAGTGTGCCCTGGGCTGGTAGTTGGGTTTTTAGGGGTGGCACCCCATGCTGGTCCCTGTGCCTGTGTGTTTGGGGTGTGAGGACTGCACTGGGTGAGCTGCAGGGCTGAGGGCAGGCTGAATGTGTCCCCTGCAGCTGTGACATGATGCCAGTGGGAGCAGCTCTCTGCTCCTGCCATAAAACTCCATCCACATCATCCATGGAGGACATGAGGCTTAGACCACCCTCAGGGTGAAGGCTGAGAGGATGGGGAATGCTGGAAGGTTGGCTCAGTGCTTTTCCAGGCACCTGGTCCTTGGAAGGGGAGTGATGTGCTTGGGGAAATGCATCCAACCCCCATGCAAGGGGAAGTGTCCATATGCCACAGCTGTGCAGGGGCTGGTGAGGACACCTCAGGGGTGGGAGCACAACTCAATCACCCCATGGCTGCAGAGACTCTTTGCTGGGGGAGGTGCCCTCAGTGCTGCCAGAGAGGTGACAGTGTTTGGATTTGGACCAACTCCCAGTGTGAAATGGACTGTGCTGGGCCATGTGGTGGGTGAATAATGTATCTGCTGTGCCCCACTGGGGACTGACTCACTCAGTGTTCCTCTTCACCTGCTTTCCCAGGCATGTCCCAGGGTGGTTTGCATGTTAGTTGTTCCCCTGTAAGCAGAGGATGTGTGTCCAGGCTGGCAGGAACTGGGCAAGCACAGGGATGCAGTGCTGGCAGGGATTTCAGTGCCTGCACCCCTTGGGAGTGAGGAGGGGAAAGGATGGGTAGGGAGAGTGCAGGATCCCTGCCTGAGGTCCTCAGCCCTGTGCTCCCCATTTCTGGGGCTGTGAGGAAGGAAGACTTGTGGGAGCAGGTGGGATGCTTGGCTGGGGAGAGCCTGGAGACACAGAGCTGGAGCTCAGCTTCCCATGGCTGCATCGTGTTGGCCTCACTTCCATCCTTTTCCTCTGGCAGGAAAATGAGATTCATTTTCAAGCATGGATGAAAACCTACTGGCTTTACAGCCACTGAGCAGAGGGGTCTGGCTGCCCTGGTGCTGGAGAGTGTGCGGGTGGCTGTGGCTGTCCTTCACCTGCTCCATCATGAGCCCAGGGCAGTGCTCAGGGTCCCTTCCACTTCCCTTCCCAGCCAGCCACAGCTGTGCCCAGTCAGACAGCTCCAGGACTGGGCTGGTGGCACAGCTGTGGCACAGAGGAAACCATGTGAGGCTCAAGACCCTCCCCATTGCCCCCCTCTTCAACAGCAATGGAAGGGTTACGTCTGTGTGCTTCTGTGCAGAGCTGCTGGAATTCAAGATCCTCAGTTCTCCCCCTGTGTTTCTCAGTAGGAATTGGAACTATTTGACCCGAGTAATGTGGTAGCATTGCTTGGACTCTATTTTGGACATGGTTCATGGTGCTGGGGAGGGAGAAGGCAGCCTGGCAGCCTTGGGGGCACATGAGGACACCATGGGGAAGGCAGATGGGATACTGGTCCAATCTGTCTCCTTGTCTTGTCAAGGAAAGGGGTTGACCTCTCCTGGTGGATGCTCCTGTGGAGCAGCCAGCCCTCCTGCATCATGTGGAGACTCCTTCCTCGACCTCCCACTGCTGGTCCTGTCTCTCAGAGTGCTCACAGTGACATCCTGTGGTTTCTGTGTCCCTTGAGGAGCTGGCACGGGGCTGGCCATGGGCAGAGGAGTCTGCTGTGACAGCTGGGCTGTGCTCCCCAGCTGCTCCCCCCCTGCAGCCTCTGATCCTGTCCTAATCATCTGCTGAGCTGAGACAGTTCACTAAAGCAGCAGCAAAGCCAGGTGAGAAAATGTCCATTCAGAGAGTTGGATACACTCCCTAAAGCACCAAAGGACATTTATACCCAAATTACAAGGAGTAAATTGAGTTCCCTGAATTCCCAGTTCAGCTCATTTTCCTTACCCTGTGCTGAGCCACTTCAGTGCCAGAATGAGGAATCACCTCTTGTAGTCAAGTGGCTGCAGTGCAGGTGCTGTGGATCTTCCTCTTCTCAGCTCCTTCCTCCCAGCCCCGTGGCTCTCCATGGATCTCAGGGGTCCAGCTGGAGCAGCCTACTTCTCTGTGCCAGCAGCTGTGGGCAGTGCCTTTGGAAAGGACATCCAGTTGGGCTCTGGATGTGCACAGCCTCCAGCCTGGAGCAGCTGTTAAATCTATACCCAGACAGTCAGCATGGCCTGAGTCCCCAGCATGTGTTGCCAGCCTGATGGGACAAATTCTTGTTAAATGGTGGATAGACATGAAAATAACCTGGAGTGGCAATGAAAAGCACTTAATTTCTTTTGGTACACTTTACTTGCTTTACCTTGAAGAGCTCGAAAAGCACCTCAGCCACCTTGAGCAGCTGTTAAATCTATACCCAGACAGTCAGCATGGCCTGAGTCCCCAGCATGTGTTGCCAGCCTGATGGGACAAATTCTTGTTAAATGGTGGATAGACATGAAAATAACCTGGAGTGGCAATGAAAAGCACTTAATTTCTTTTGGTACACTTTACTTGCTTTACCTTGAAGAGCTCGAAAAGCACCTCAGCCACCTTTTCCCTGTGCAGGGGCAGTGACAGGGAGTCAGACAGCAGCACTGGCTGCTCCTCTGGGAGAACTTTCAGACAACAGGAGAAGAGGTGATTCCACAGGTTTTCCATGCCATCCCAGTTCTCAATGATGCCATGCTTGAGTGGGTAGGACCTGGGTGCTGTGGCCATGCTTTCCGTGACAGTGGGATGCTGCTGTTTCCCACATGATGTCTGCACTGCAGGGATGCAGCATCACAGTCCTGAGTGCAAACTTGGGCTCCTCCTGGCCTGCAAAGGCAGCCTGGGTGAAGCTGCTGCCTTTGTCTATGGTGACTGCAGGCTTCAGCATGGCTGGTGATCCAGAGGGATGCCAGGGAGGGAGGAAGAGCCTGCAGTGGAGTAAGAGGGATCTTGTAAGGGAAAACCAGGCACAGGTATCAGCTCTGCAAGGAAGACATGCTCAGCCCAACTGGAGGACACCAGTGCCTGCTCTGGAAGTGTCTGGGTACATGGCTTAACCTTTCCTCATGTCCTCTCGCTCTCTCTCTTGCTGAACATCTCTCCCCGGGTACCTTCTCTCCATCCCTGGGGGCCTGGAGGTTTTCTGACAGTGCAGGGACAGAACTTTAGGTGGTTTTAAGGAAGTAGGTGAACACTGGACAGGAAGGTCAAGTGGTTGGACCAGGAATATGCTGCTAGCAGAGCCCTTAGCCCATGGAGAGGAGCCACGGTCTGGGTGCAGTGAACAGCCACAGCCCAGATTTTTGCCCAAGAGGATCTGTAATCCCAGCTGGCAAAGGAAGGAAGGAGTTCAGGGTGCCTTTGTGTGTGTGCAGGCACTTCCCTCACTTTCTCTGCTTCCCAGATTTGCTCCTGTGGCATGGTTTGCATCCTCACCTGCTGTTTGGGTGCCCTCTGGGCCATCTTGCCTTTCTTACCTGTGTCCCTTTCATTCTGCCAGTGCTTCTCACATGCCTCCCTGAACCCACCTTTACACCCTTCAGCACTAAAGCCTGTGGTGAGCACTCTGCATATCAGACCCGGGAGGAGAGTGGTGAGGAAAGGGCACACAGCCCCATGTTCCTGCTGGACACCCCTCCAGTGCTGTAGAGCACTGGGCCAGGGCTCACAGGGGCTGTCACTCACTCACAGGTGACATGGGGATGAGCTATGGGGTGGCCCAGAGTGCAAGCACATGTCAGACATTCATCTGGGAGTCTCTTGTGGGAGCAGAGAGGATTGGTGCTGTCTTCCCAGGGAGGGAGAGCATGCAGCCAGCCCCTGGCCTGGCCTGCAGGGGTGGGGAGCTCCCTGGAAGGGACTGTCAGCACCTGGGGGATGCTGTGAGTTCCCAGCCTTGTCTAGAGCACTAGTGTGAGCAGAGCAGTGTGTGAATGTGCAGAGGGGATGCTCTGCCAGCCCTGGATCCCTCCCTGGAGCTGGGGGCTGTCCCTGCAAATGACCTCTACCCTGTGGCTTGTGTCCATCTGCTTTCCCCCAGGGCTCCTGGGGCTGTAAGTGCTGGGGCCGGAATGTGGGTGGAAGCCTGCCATGCATTCATTCCTTCTTGTGATCTCACAGGCATGTGCCCAGAAGGGTCTTCTGCCCTACAGTGCCACTTTTTCCTGCAATAAGCAAAAATCGCTGGGTTTTAAATAAACAGTTGGGTTTATTCAAGGGTCAGCCCCTTCCAGATGTGGCTCTGCTCCCCTCACACAGAGCCAGAGGTGTGTGACAGATCATCTCCCCTTCCTCTCAGAGGTATGAGACCTCCTCGAAGATGGAGCATGGAATTTGGAAACACAGGCCAATGCACCAGCTGCAGTCCCTGCAGGCGTCTCTGGAGTGTGCTGTGGACACCGTGGAGGAGCAGTCAGGACGGGAGAGGTAATGAGATGTGGGATGTGTTGCTCCTTCCTCTCCCCCAGCACTACTCCTGGGGGTGCAGCACGGGGCAGGGTTCCCCTGTGAGGGACATCCCGGAGCAGGATCTGCCCTTTCCAAGCCCACTGTGAAGCTGATCCCTCTAGGAATGACTTCAACCCCTCCTTTTGCATTTTATTCTTTCAGAAAGGACATAAAGAAATCTGAGACTTCAGTTAGCCTGAGGTCAGGGAGACGCTGTGGGCGCAGAGGACAGAAGAATGTCTGCCTGTCTCCAACAGATCCCTATTCTGGGATGCTGACAACAGGTACCTGCAGCCTGATGTCCCTGGGGTTGTCTGTGCCCTGCTGGAGCCTGGACTGGGTTTGGGAGCAGCGCAGAATCATTAAGGTTGAAAAAGACTGCTAAGACCAATGAGTCCAACCATTTCCCCAGCACTGGCCACCTCTAACCATGTCCCCAAGTGCCACATCTACAGCAGCACAGAGACTTGCCCAGGACAGAGCCTGGACCATCTCACCCAGATGCCAGCAGGAGCTTCTGTGGGATATGGTATCTTTTTAGTGGTGGGAAAAGTTTCAGGAGAGAAACAAATCATTGCTTTAATTTAAATCAGAGATTTAGAAACTTTTGTGGTCTTCTGGGTCTTGAAGCCAACTTTTGCAATGACAGAATTGAGCTTGTTTTGGTGACATTTCTGTGCCTTTCCCCATGCAGGTGTCTGTGTTGAGGACAATAGCCAGTGGATGGCTCAGATCAACAGGCTCCAGCAGCTCATCGAGAAGCTGGAGTGCAAGGTGTGTGGCCAAGGGGAGTGGCTGGGGCTGCCCTGCACCTCAGCACAGCCAGGTCGGTGCTGGGACCCCTCCTGGTGCCAGCAGCTCCTGCATTCTGTCCTAGCACCACCACAGAGCTGCATCCACTCACCAGATCCAGACTTGCAGCCTCCAAACCCACCCCTCTCCCCTCAGCTCTGCTTCCCCATGGTCCTGCTGCTCTGACAAGTCAGGACCCACCAAGCCCCACAGATGTGCAGCTCACATCCCTGTCCTCCCCAAGGAACATTCCCAGAGTGGTACCTGCCTGTCCCCTGGGCTGGGCAGTGTGTTACTCCAGGGTTTGCCTTACTGCAGAGCTCTCCCAGTAACACTGGTTTTTCCTGTGGTGTTAAATGCAGAGCCCACGCCTGGAGCCGCTGAAGGAGGAAGCAATGTGCAAAGGACAAGATGCAGTAAGTCCCTGTCCTGCTGCTTTATGTTTGCAGGTAACCTGAGTGTGCACAGATCCCTCTCACACATGTGTGAGCTCACACAGCCCCTGTGCCCTGCAGTCACCTGAGTGAGCTCTGGCTGTGGTCTGACAAGGAGTCTGTGACCTGGTGATGGAGCAGGGTGGGATGCAGGGCTGGGAGCTGGGTGTGGGATCACCCACAGAACAAATGCAGCTCATTCAGGTTCATGAAAGCCGCAGGCAGTGCCCACAGCCAGCCCAGAGGATGGCAACACTCTGCTTGTGAGTGCCCAAACCACCCAGGTGTGCTCTGAGTGCCCACAGACACTCAGAGCCCCAGTGGAGGGGTCCTCAGTCCTCTTTCTGCTGGGGTAAGGGCATGTGGAACTGCAGCAGCCCCAAAGCTGAACCCTGCTGCCAAGGGATGGAGCATCTCCTGTTGGTGTGGTCCTCAGCGTAAAATCAACCTGTCCAGGTGGGAAGAGGCCACTGTGTCACCGTTGTCCCGACACTGTGGTGCTGTGCTTGCTCAGCACCACCTTGTCGTACAGCAGGGAGGGCAGGAGTGGATAGATCAGCCCCTGATTCCTTGCTGTCCCTTGGCAGCACATCCTGGTGGCCAAGAGGCAGATCTCGGTGGCCACGAACAGCATCGAGGAGTTCCGGCAGGCGTTCCGGTCCTACACGGAGGGCACCGCTGGGCACAGCAGCTGCCTGCAGTAAGTTGGGTGGTTTGGGGGTGGGTTTTGGGGTGGTTTCCCCAGAAACTGGGCTTCTAACATGTCCTTGTGGGACAGAAGGGTTTTTGTGGAGTGTTTTGTGTGCTGATCAGTGCAAGGATTTGGTGTGCAGGGGTCAGATCTGACAGAGAGGATGAGATGGTGTCAGCGGTGTCCTGCTGCAATATTGTCCCATGTCCTGCTACAGGTATTCCCAGTAAGAATATGGAAAGGAGGGGGAGGGGTTTATACCAGCAGTGATGGCTGTGACGTGTACATGTAAGTGAACAAACTCCTCCAGCACTGAAGGACTCAAAAGTAATGGAAAGGCCAAGGGCAGAGCTCATGCAGAGCATTGATTTATGGAGAATGTGTGTGAAGCTGCCTGAGCACCTGAAGTTGACCCTGTGTGAGGCCAAGGCTGCCCTCAGCACTGCCTCAGAGCTCTGGGCATGGAGCCCACAGGGACAGCCACTGCCAGCCTGTCCCTGAGCTGGCACAGCTGCTTCCTGAGCGGTGCTTCCCTTCTCCCACGGGAGATTTCAAGCCTCTCTCAGTGGGGAATGTTCGTGCTGTTCCCATTTGAAGTGTCATTTTTCAGCTCTTCAGTTCCAACAGCACAAATTCCTGTTTTCAGGCCAAACAAAAGGAAGAGGCTCATGGTGACACGTGTGGCACAGAGAATGGGCGTTCTGTTCTTTGGAATTGATGGGCTTTGCTGTCAGGAGAGCTATTTGTGGAGACAATGGGGTGGCCTTGCATGGGCAGGCTCTCCATGTGAGGGAAAGCTGGAGCCAAGCCTGGGGAGACTGCATGGTCCTGGCTCACACCAGGGAATTCAAAACCTGCCCTGGCCCCCGGGCACACAGCCTCAGAGCTGCTGGGTGACTTGCTTTGCTGTCCCACTGGGGTTTGGCCCCCTCCTGCAGCCCTTGGCAGCAGCTGGAGGAAAGGCTAACCCTCAGCTGGAATTGCTGCTGCTGCAGCCAAGCACAGCTGGTTCCCTGGCCCTGCACCCCAAGCCTTGTGCTCTTGCCTCCCTCCTGCTTCCCCCATCTTCCCATGGGCTGGAGACAGCCCCAGCCTGTTCCTCTGGCAGGAGGGAGTGGGGGAAGCATCACTGATGAAACTGCGTTAGGGGCACAGTGAGCTGTCAGTTTATGCTGTGAGCTCAGCTCCTGCACTTGTGCCTCAGTTTCTCTCCATGTGAAGGGCAAGGGGGTGACAGACACCTACTCCAGAGGGCTGGAAGGATGAGCTGTCAGTGCTAGGGATGTGTAAGAGATAATAAAACACTCAACACACTGGTTCATGGGCTGCAACAAAGCCTAGTTTAAGAGCTGTAAAGCTCCTCTGCTGCCTGGCTGCAGGAGCTGTGAAGCAGGATTTGGGTTTGGGATCCCCTGGAGCCATGTGCTCCTGCAGTCACAAACTCTGGATGCATCCAGACTACACTTTGGAAGCCTCATGGTGAGGCTGATGTGCAGAGCAGTGCCCCTCGCTCCCAGGCTGGTGGCACTACCATGGCAGTGCCGTGCCAGCCTGCCCAGCCCCAGCTCAGGGTCACTCCTGTCCCCACAGCGTCTCTGCCTGCAAGCTGACGGACGAGGCCTGCTTCATCCTCTACGAGTTCTGGCAGGACGTGACCTCGTGGAGAAGGTGAGAGGCTGTTCGTGTGCAGGATGGATATTTGGGGCTGGATGCTGGGGGCCTGAAAAAGGGTTCCTCTGGGGTTCCACAGGACCTCATGCTCCCCTCCTTGCACAGCCTGTGCTGCTGCTGACACTGCCCAGGGCATCCCAGGGCTGTGTGCAGCATAAGGGGGTGAACATAAGGGAGGGGATTCTCTGCCCCTACTCTGTTCTTGTGAGAACCACCAGCAGTGGTGCACACAGTTTTGGTGTCCCCAACTTCAGAAGGACATGGAACTGTTGGAGCAGGTCCAGAGGAGGGCACAAAGCTGATGAGAGGACTGGAGCACCTTCTCTACGAGGACAGGCTGAGAGAGTTGGGTCTGTGCAGCCTGGAGAAGAGAAGGTTGTGTGGAGACCTCAGAGCAAACTGCCAGGAGCTGAAGGGGCTCCAGGGAAGCTGCAGAGGGACTCTTTATTAGGAGCTTCACTGACAGCACAAGGAGGAATGGGGAGAAATTAAAAGAGGGAAATTTGGATTAGCTATTAGGAAGATGTTTTTTATTCTTGTGAGGGTGGTGAGACACTGTCCAAGGTTGCCCAGGGAGGCTGTGGCTGGCCC